CGTCCTCCGGAGTTTGCTTAATTTCATGTTCCTTGCATCGATACCACTGTCTAACCATCTCATTCTTTGCGGTCTCCCTTTTTTAATACCACATATTTGGATCATTTTACCTTAGTAGCAGTTCGAAAGCAAGAAATTGCAAGTAGATAAATAGGTACCACTTCGGTGGGAAGGTAACAGTGTTCCGTGCGCCTCGGTGTTTAGTCATGCCGGCCACGTGACCACGGAAACGTCTTCGGACAGCGCTGGCTCTTCGGCTTTGAAACGGAGATGAGCACCGCAACCCTAAAGTCGGACTCGACTGGCTTTCGAGCAAGGGAAACCTTTCCCTTACCTTAGTAGCATGTAATGATTATAGTGAATGGGAAGGCAGCCAATATAGGCCCAGATTCTTCAGATTTCAGAAGTTAAGCAGGGTCTGGGTCACTTACGAAACAGGGACGGGAAGGCACTCTGGGCATGCCCAAATCCACTCGTTTCAAGAGCCACCACACACTTTTGACACTCATGGCCATGGTGATTTGATAATGATCTTCAAGTACTTGAAGGGCTGTCAGAGAGAGGATGGGGCAGAGTTGTTTTCTGTTGCCCCAGGAGGTCGGACCAGAACCAACGGGTTGCAATTCAATCACAAGAGTTTTCGGCTAAACGTTAGGAAGAACTTCCTGACAAAGCAGTTCCTCAGTGGAAGAGGCTTCCTCAGGAGTTGGTGGGCTCTCCTTCTTTGGAGGTTTTCAAACAGAGGCTAGATGGCCATCTGACAGCAATGCAGATTCTCTGAACTTAGGTAGATCATGAGAGGGAGGGCAGGAAGGGTTGCCTCAGTGCTTAGTACTTGTGGCCCTTTCTTACACGCCCAGGGAAATGCTGATCGCCACTTTGGGGTCACTCAGGAAGCAATTTTTCTCCAGGCCAGTTTGGCTGGAGATCCCGGAGGTTGTCATCTCTTGGGCGTGGAACAGCAGTCCCTGGGGGTGCGTGAGGGGGAGGTATTCATGAGTTTCCTGCATTGTGTGTGTGTGGGGTTGGACTAGATGACCCTGGAGGTCCCTTCCAACTCTGATCCTATGAACTATCGACCTGGGTCCCCAGGCAGTTCAGGATTACATAAAGGGGGGGGGGAGGGTTGGAACACTTTCCCTATGAGGAAAGGTTAAGGCGCTTAGGGCTCTTTAGCTTGGAGAAACGACGACTGATTGAGGTTTATAAGATTGTGCATGGGAAAGAGCAGGTAGAGAAAGAGGTACTTTTCTCCCTTTCTCACAAGAACTCGTGGGCACTCCATGAAATTGCTGAGCGGTCGGGTTAGAACAGATAAGAGGAAGTACTTCTTCACCCAAAGAGTGATTAACACTTGGAATTCACTGCCACAGGAAGTGGCGGCGGCTACAAGCATGGACGGCTTCAAAAGGGAATTAGATAAGCATATGGAGCAGAGGTCCATCAGTGGCTATTAGCCACAAGGTATAGATAGGGACTCTGGGGCAAGTGATGCTCTGTCATCTTGGTGCTTGGGGGGGGTCAACAGTGGGAGGGCTTCTAATGTCTTGGCCCCACTGGTGGATCTCCTGATGGCACTGGTATTTCTGGCCACTGTGTGATACAGAGTGTTGGACTGGATGGGCCTTTGGCCTGATCCAACATTGGCATCTCTTATGTTCTTATGTAAAGATAACTCGTCCACATTTTCTCCTGGTCAATCCACCCTCACAAGTCCACACAAGTCTCCTCCCATTCTTCCAAGTGACCGCTTATAACACCTCCCTCACTTAGCCCAGTTATCTTAAAAACCTCTCCATTATGTAAACTCAAAGGCAGATGAGCCTAAATTAAATCTGACAGCACAATAACGAGATACTCTGATTAGTACTAACGGTGACATTGGCAGAAGTTTCCTGGGCTCTTTTTAATTTTCCAAGCATCCTGCCAAAGACATGATCAGAATACCGAAAAACTCAGTGGGAGCGAGTGAATTTTTAATGCGCAAACCCTGGGGAATACGGTTATCAAAACCTTGCTCCAAAGCAAAGGAGCTGGTTTGTATCCAAAGCAACTCTTCCTCGATACCCTAGGCGAAACAAGGGTTTTTTTTTAACTTTTGAAAAAGCCCTGCAGATAGTGCGAGCACACAGCTGGATTCGTGACTAGCCGGAGAATTTCTTTAGACGCGGCTCACGCCAAGATAGCCATTCCAATCCAAACCCGGCATGATCTGGAAAGTGGCCTGAGGGGACGATGCAATTGCATTCTTCTATAAATTTCTATAAATTTCTCAATCAAGCCCTTCACCGACTGTTGCGGGGACGGGAAGAGCTACTCCTGGGGCTCAGCTGTCCTTAAACATTAGGAACTTCTTGTCTCCGAGAGCTGAGTGGCAGAGTAAGAGGAACAATTAGAATGACAAAGGTGCCTGGAGGAAGCGACCCGACTAAAACGAGTTTAAGAGAGGGAGGGATCTACATTGCTCTACAGCAGACGAGAAAGAACTGCCTCAACCTAGAATACTTCGGGCTGACCTGGATACCCCAGGGTAGGCCTATCTCAGAAGCTAAGCAGTCAGCCCCGGTTAGGGCTTGAGGGGAAACCGCCAAGGAAGCCGAGGGTCGCCACGCAGAGGTAGGCAATGGCCAACCACCCCGGTTCGTCTCGGCCCCAACCTGGATGGCCTAGGCTAGCCCGATCTCACCAAATTCGGGAACCTGAGCTGGGTCAGCGCTGGTTAGTACTTGGATGGGAGACTACCAAGGGCGTCCAGAGCAGTGTTCCCTCTAAGCTGAGTTAGGGTGAGCTGGCTCACAGTTTTCCAGCCTCCGGCTCACAGCTTTTTGCCTTAGAGCTCAGGAAGGAGGGCTCCGGAGCAAACTAATTTCTGCAGCAGCCAAATCGCCGGCTCGCCACTTTAACGCCGGTCGCTCACAAAGTAGGATTTTTTGCCCACAGGACTCAGCAGCTTAGAGGGAACATTGGCTCCAGAGAGCACTTTCCTCCACCACCACAGAAGGGCTGGGGAGGTCTCCAGAGCAAGCACTCTTGACATGACTGACCACTGTAAAGAAGAGGAAGAGGATATTGGATTTATACCCCACCCTCCACTCAGAGCAGCTTTGCAATCGCCTCCCCCTCCCCACAACAGACCCCCTGTGAGGTGGGTGGGGCCGAGAAAGCCCTTTTGAAGACTGCTTGTGAGAGAACAGCTCTGAGAGAGCTTGTGACTGACCCAAGGACACGCCAGCAGCTGCATGTGGAGGAGTGCGGAACCAAACCCGGTTCTCCCAGATTAGACTCCGCGCTCCTCACCACTACGCCAAACTGTGGTGATCTTCACACCGCTTCTGCCTGGCAGAAGGCCTCCCACTACTCGTAACCCCCCATCTACCCCAAAGCCGCTTCCGTCATTCTCCTCTCCTCCACTGTGCCCCTCACAACAACCTTGCGAGGTAGACTGGGGCAAAAGTGCATGACTGGCCCAAGGCCACCCAGCAAACTTCACGGGAGGGGAGAGATTCAATCCCACATCTCCCAGAACCCCGTCTGATACTCCACCCACTCCGTCACGCTGCCTCATTACCCCAGTGCCCTGGCTGTTCCCCATACACGATGAACGAGACACCAAAGAACGGTCGAGCATTTTATTAATCGTAGAGGGGAAAACAAAAACGGGGGAGGTATATACACGCACACAAAAAAATACAACAAATGTAAAATGACGTGCCACTAACGGAGGTCGGGATGGGGTGGTGTGTGCAAGGTGGCGTGTTTACGACACACCCTCTTGCCCAGTGCGAGAACCAGAGGCGGCGGCGGCGAACTTAAAACGGAGGGAGCGGAGAGAGAACCGGGGCAAAAAAGGTGGGGAAGGTGGGGAGAGGACTCGTCAAATTAATTGTTTACGGTCACATGATAGAAACGGGGCGTTCTCGCTGGGTCACACACAACCACTGGATCGTTACAGCACACCGCCTGAATTCCCCCTCATATTCCCAGGGACTGAAGATACCCTCATGCTAAAGAAAGAACCCTGTGCCCCCCCCCCCCCAATAGAGGAAGGGTTAAGCTGGAACCCTCGGCTAAACCAAATATGAACACCTGCTCGCTTCTCCTGGAAAATGCACGTCCCAAATCTCAAGAGGCCTGAGCATGGGCTTGCGCCCCCTTACTCAAATCCGGGTCCTCTTCACTGATCACAGACATCGGAATCCAAGCCACGACCTCTTTTCTTTTCGGAGGGGAGTGGGGCTGCGAGCACTGCGGGACGGACTGCAGGGGGAGCGTTAAGAGGCTTCACGTTGTGAGAGGCATGAGTGGCGCATGACGGAGGTGACGTTAGAGCTTTAGTCGAAACGAGATAAAACTAACTGTGCCGCGTTATGATTTCAGCGGGTGTTCCGCTGGCAAACACAGCTCTGTGCTGTTGGTTCCCTTTCTGGCGCTCTCTCTCCCCAATCAACTGGTGTTTGGACACTGAATGGAGAAACGAGTGGCGGAGGGTGTGTGTCTTTCTGAACTGGAGGCGTGGGAGGGAGATACGGTTGCGGGGTCAAGCTCGCCATCCGAGCACTGACCGTCAGGAAAAAAGGGCCTGGATCGATATCTCATGCGCCGCTATGTACTGCGCTGTGGTGACGGTCTCATGCAAACTGTGGCCGAGAAGCCAGGGGCCCGAGGAGCGGGTCTTGCTCCCCTCCCGTGGAGGAGCTCGTGGTCAATCACGCCGAGCGTGGCTTTTAAGGGCCTGCTCCGCCTCTCCTGAGAGAGCCCCATCGGGGAAGTAGAGGAAAGGGTGTTACTTGCTGTCATCCTGGTGAGGAAACAAACAAACAAACAGACAAAATCTTCAACCTGTCTAGATGGGGGAACCTGAACCTGTCTAGGGGGGGAACCAGGTAGAGATTATATCAGCTGCCCAGGAAGGCCTGAGACGAGGGAACTGAGAGCAATAGAGGGAGACGGACATGGGG